CAATGTAAAATAACAGTACTCAAAACAGTGCAATGAAGAACAAATACTAGTACTACTAATTAAATAATAATAATAATAATAATAATAATAATATATTTATACTCTGCCCATCTGGCTGGGTTTCCCCAGCCACTCTGGGCTGCTTACAGCATATATAAAACATAGTAGAACATGCAGGGTTCATTCAGAAAAGCTGCACTGTTAAATTTTTAGAAATGCAGCTCCCTTTTATGTACACACAATGTTACGACTATTCTTTCCATTATCATGATATCTAGGAATTGGGGGATATCTAGGGAAATCGATGTATGCACAGAAAAAAGACGGGAGGAGGGGTATGGTCCAGGTGTCATTCTGTTTTCATCAGTGTGATATGAAAAAGCGACTGCTCTTGCTCTCATGCTCTGACCCACTCCACAGATATGCATCTTTTAAGAAGGGGAACAATGAAGAAGCAAGTAACCATCTGACTGAGAAATCAATTAATCAGCCCAAGCAAACTGAATGTGTCAGATCCCAACAGTAGAGACGGAAGCAAGATTTTTAAAATGTGCTCGCAGCAATTAAAGAATACTCAGCTGTTCATGTGAGGGATGCATTCCATAACATAACACCAAATGCATCTTTCTCTCTTGTGACATATTCACTGAATTCCACCTTACCATTTGCAGTCACAAGAGGAAATCTGGCACTCGGAGCGTAAGCTCCAGCAGTGATGAATATGCCACCAACATGGCTACTGATATCTCCATCCAAGCCCTCTCTGGTTCCTAGACATTCAGGCTTAAGAATTCTTCTTTGCAGTTAGAAAATTGCACTTTATTTAAAGCAAAGCTCCAAAGTACAAGAACATCGATATAGGATGCTGGATCACGTGCATAAGGCAAATAATCATATTGGGCTGCATTTTCAAGGGGGATGTGGATTGAAACTCCACCATCATCATCATCATTATTATTATTATTATTATTATTATTACTACTATAATTATCATCATCATCATCATCATCCCACCCTTCACCCTATAAGGTCCCAAGGCAGGTTGCAACAATTGAAAGACAATATTAAAAGCAAGTTCAAAAGCAATATACAGTCACAGAAATAAGTTGGGTCCTGAAAACACATACCCAAACACACACATTTGGGAAGCTCATGTGAGGCAGGGGAACAGATCAGCTGATTTGTAGGTGTTTCTTTCCATTGGAAGCATTTTCGTTATTTCCTGGCATTTTTAATAAGCTCCTATATGGCTTCCTGTTGTGTTGCAAATTATTCTCTTAAGATATTGTTACCATTTTCTTTTTCCAATAAGGAAGAGGCCTCTTTTCAGGGCGGTGCCATCTTGGCTGTGGCCTGCGTTCGTGTCCTTGTTGAAGTGAGCCTTCTTTCGCAGGGCAGGAAGAACTGAGTGAGGTGTTTTATTTTCAGCTTTTCTTAATCCTTTTGCATGCCCTTTTCCTTTCTTCAAGGTTTGGGCCTTTGGAAAAAAAAAAAAAGACAACATGGGCTTTTGCTCCAAGCTGTTTTTCTGGGCCTTGGAACGAAGCTTAGCGTTCAAGTGTCCATCTTCTTTCCTTCGTGGCCACACCCCCCTCATTGCTCCACCTGACTGGGGATTTGTGGCTTCTGTACCTTTTACCAGATTAGGGTGCAGTCCAAACCTCTCAGCACTGGGGAAGGGGAATTGGCTAGGGCAGAGGAATCCCTCAGCTCAGCCCAGAACAGTTCTGCTAGGTTTCACTCATAGCGTGATGCTGGTATCACTCCGCTGGTGCAGTCCTTTTGCTTGCATCCTCCAAAAGTCCAGGCATGTGGAAGTGGGCTTCTAGTTGGCATTACAGTGGTACCTCGGGTTAAGTACTTAATTCGTTCCGGAGGTCCGTACTTAACCTGAAACTGTTCTTAACCTGAAGCACCACTTTAGCTAATGGGGCCTCCTGCTGTTGCCGTGCCGCCGGAGCACGATTTCTGTTCTCATCCTGAAGCAAAGTTCTTAACCTGAAGCACTATTTCTGGATTAGCGGAGTCTGTAACCTGAAGCGTATGTAACCTGAAGCGTATGTAGCCCGAGGTACCACTGTAGTGGAGCTTATTCTGTTCCATCATGCTTTGCTACTGCCCAGCCAGGATTTGCATTGCTTTGCTAGCTATAACAACTACAATTGTCCCTTGGTCGCTCTTGCATAGTTCTTTGAAAGCCCGGACAATAAAGGGATTGCCTGGGCTCCAAAGCACCCGGGGACAGCATTTGCACACACACACACACACACACACAGATTTCAAAACGAATTGGTGAAAATTGACCTCTCAAATTGCTCCACTCACCTCTCATACTATGCCTGTAGGAAGTGGGGGAGATAAGGATCCAGCCTACTGGCCAAATCCAGTTCCATCTAGGTCTATACCAAGGCAAGGCAGTCTGCCAAGTGTTCTGGTCTCAAGGTGTTTGTTTAGGGCTTTATATAGCAGCAACAATATCTTGAAAGTTTGATTCTTTCAAGGCAGATGAAAGCGGGCTTACCTAGGGGGCCCACTCAGTGTAGCTGCTGAATTCTGCACAAATGTAATTGCAGACTTCTGCTTTCAGACCAGGGCCATTAACAAATGCACCTCCCAGAAGTCAGGAAAATTTTGCTTTAGGGGAGTTTACATTTAAATTCCTGCCCACTGAGACACAGGGCATTTATCTCAGTAAGCACGTGTTCCCCAAACGTACATTTGACTCCATGCTTAAGTTTGTCTGTCAGATGTGATATTGTTTCTTCATGCTGTTTTGTGGGGATGTGTTAAATTAAGCTTGAAATTGCATGAGAAAGCTGGGCACAGGAGCAGTTTACAAATATTATGACAATGAGATTGCAGAAGAATTCAATGAAATGTTTTATTTGTCTGTTTTGGGGGGTGTATGTGTTTTACAATGGAGGAATGTATACATATAGTCTGAGAAACATCAGTCCATGTGAATGGATCCTAGATTGTCATATATTTTTCGGCTAGAGAAGCAATTTCTATGCTGAAATGCACTAAAATATTCACATTCTATAATTAAACCGTTAAATTTGGAATATTGTTCAAAGAAATTCCATTCTCTTTTGCAGAACCACTGTGACTATCAATTTTGAGGCTCATGTATGGTATAATGAATGGCTACTTCAAGCCCAAAATCATTTTGGTCAGTGACAGATTGGCAAAGACGACTGAATTTTAGTTGCAAGTTATTATGCTGGCTCGGCTATCTATAATTTCCTCCAATTGGTTTTATTCAAGAAAAGGAAGCTATTTTATGTAAACTCTCCCCTTGCAGCTGATCTCTAGATTAGTGCTACAGAATATGAATTCTATTATACAGCCAAAGAAAGGGTGACGCTGATCTCGCACGTCACCCAATCTCACCCAGCTGTCATGAGCCTACAAGACAACCTAGATCCTAGGATAAGCCAAGCAGATAAACGTCTGTGTCTATTATCCATTTATTTGTCACTATTCTCTCTCTCTTCTTCAGGGATCAATAGATAGACAAGATTCTATCTCTCATTTAGGCTATATGGCAAGCTCCTTTGCAAGAGCTATTTTCACTTCACACATTTTTCCTCTTGAGTTTAGGCTTCAATTGGTAATTTATGTTTTCTTTCCTTTTTAGTATGAATGGTAGTCAAGTTGCTAAAAGAAAGAAAGAAAGAAATCAAATCTTGTGGTTGTGGCAATTCTAAATTATATGCCAAACTTTCTATGACCAGGGCTACTTCCTGATATTTAGATTAGGCCTGCATTCCTACTGCCTAACAACTGGAAGGTCTAAAGCAGTGGTCCCCACTAGGGGCAATGGGATTACCTAGACCTAGGGAGTGCTTAGGGGGCAGCTGTGGAGTACTGAAAGTGTAAGACTTTGAAAAGCTTATTGAGTTCTTATGTATACCTCTGTGCTGTTGGTTGGTTGGTTGGTTGGTTGGTTGGTTTTTGTCTTAAAGTGGGTGGGTATATCTGTACAGTTGTACCTCGGAAGTTGAACACCTTACGATGCGAACGTTTTGGCTCCTAAATGCCGCAAACCCAGAAGTGAGTGTTCTGGTTTGTGAATGTTCTTTGGAACCCAAACATCCGACGCGGCTTCCGTGGCTTCCGATTGGCTCCAGGAGCTTCCTGTAGCCAATCGGAAGCTGCACCTTGGTTTCTGAACATTTTGGAAGTCTAACGGACTTCTGGAACGGATTCTCTGCGACTTCCAAGTTACGACTGTATATCTAAACATTTAAATAAATAAGCAAGCCCTGAAATGTTCTTGACCATTGAATCAACTTCAAGCTTGTGTCCTATCCTCACTTCCACCCTGGCCGGTACGAGTTCCAGGGCAGCAGATGATGGCACTAGGCCCTGCTATTGTATTACACCCTGTGTTACCCAGCTGGGGATTAGGATTGCAGCAGTGGTTTGTGGAGCCCACCAAGTAGGTGGAGCCAGAGTCAATGATGGCCAGAACCAACCGATTCTTGTTTTGCCCCCATCCTCCTCCCGTCTGTGCTTTATGTGGGAAAACACAAAAACTGAGGGAAAGGAAGCTAGCAGGCAGTGCCATCCTCTGAACTGGATGCCGGTAAGATTGCAGGCAGGTTGGAGCTGGCTAAGTGCAGTCTGAAGTTGGTGGGGAAGTGCCCCTCTTGCACTAATGGAGCAAAATTCACTGAACCGCACAAGCCCCAATATACACATTTTTCGGAGAGGGGTGGAGCTGGTCAGTTTGAATGGGAATTTGCAAAGTTTGAATCCTTCAAGCATCTCTATTCCTTTCAACCATTCCTACATTCGAAGGAGCTTATCCTACTGATCTGGCAACTTTACCCATGCCCAGCCCATTTCCAAAATAATTGCTAGAAGGCATAGAGACATAGGAAGCTGCCTTATAGTGAGTCAGACCTTGAGTCCATCTAGCTCAGTATGGTCTACGAAATGACTGGCAGCAACTCTCCAGAGTTTCAGACAAGGCTCTCCCTCCTAGCCCTACCTGGAGATGCCAGGGATTGAACTTGGGACCTTCTGCATGCAAATCAGATGCTCTACTACTGAGCTGCAGCCCTTTTCCCCAAGGCATGTTAGTAGGCTTTTGTGTGTGCAGGAACTTATCATACTGATATGGGAATTTTACCCATGCCCAGCTCGAAAAGAATCAATTTGCAGCACCTTGAAGAAAATAAAACAATAACAAACCCTCCAAGTGTCCCCATTTTCCAGGGACAGTCCTGGATTTACAGAAGCTGTCCTGGTTTCTGATTTGATTCCTTAGGACAACCCTATTTTCATCGGAGAAATGTTGGAGGGTATGAAGTTGCGTGACCCCTGAGCCAAGGGGATAAGTAACCATTGCAACCTTTAGAAGACATTTGAAAGCAGCCCTACATAGGGAAGTTTCTTAAATGTTTAATGTTTTATTAAGTTTTTATATATGTTGGAAGCCGCCCAGAGGGACTGGCATATAAATAATAAACATATTGTTATTATGGAATAGGATGCCCCTATTTTCACTGGAGAAACGTTGGAGGGTATGCAATAACTCACTCTGCACAGTGGGGTGCCCCACACAGACAGCAAGCCACACAGAGACCAATTTTAAGCAAGGTACACAAGGCAACTCATATATGCTGGTATGTGCTGGCTCTTACTATATTCCCATGTAGGTATTATTTGTTTCCCTGCTGTATAAAAGCCAGGGAAATGGCCTTTCTTCATATTCAGCCCCAACAACACCATGTCCCGCTGCCTGAAGTCTTCAAGTGTGTTTCCTTTCCAATCTGCTTCAGTTCTCACATTTCCAACCGATGGAGGAATACTTAATTGAGGTAACCAGAAGAAGCCCTAAGCTCTGCCTTAGATTTTCTCCTAGCAGCGGTGATATCTTGTTGGGTCAGCTCTGAGTTTCCTGGCTTGTTTCTTGTTGGTTTCCTCTTTCTCTCTGAAAACTGGGCACTGGGAAATGAAACTAATGATGTTTTTGTGACCTTGGAAATCCTCTTAGATTACAAGAAACATGTACCACATTGTGATGTTGAAAAGAAGATTGATGTCCAAAGGTCTCAATTTCCCATGCTCATGTTTGTCTGATAATAAAATATGAGGAGCACTGAAGTTAATGCCCCCAGGCAAGTAATTTACGTCTCACTCAACAAGTCCCTCACAAACAAGTTCTGAGACAGACCCCCAAAGAGTGTTGGCTCACATCTTTTCAGAGGATATCATTTCATTCCTAGAATTCCCTGGGAATCACCAGAAATGAATTTCAGAGGTTAATGGCCAGTACCCTAGATGTCAAGCACAAATACCGGGACTGAATAGTTGTTGTTTTTTATGCTGATCAGTTTGGCAATGTATACATATAGCAGCGCACACAATCAAACACACACATAAATGAAGGAAACATGTTTTTTTTTAGGTATTTCTCCTCTGGAAACTGATTGGGCCTTTGTAAATGAGAACATGTTATGCATTTTTAAAATATTCTCAAAAGCATAGCTTTGGGATTTATTTATTTTTAATAAATAAATAAAGAGAATCCTGAGTGAAACAGGAGGAATTTTGCCATCATAGATAATAAAAATGCTTTCTTGCACATAGATGTTGGTCAAAAAAGTGGTTGTTAATGGCTGGGTGGGTTGAGGGTGATTTGCAATGTCCCCTTTGTTGGTGGAAAGAAGCAGGAGGTGTGGTGGTTGGGCTCTATTATAGGAAAGGGTGCAGAAATGCCTCCAAATGGGGCATTTGGGGAAGGTGCGCTGTAGCCTTGGGGTCCACTGGATTCTAAGCCCCAAGGATTTCCATAAAGGTCCAATTTTTAACCCTTTTTTGTTATGCCAGCCTTGATCTGGTGAAGCAACCTTCTACCGTACTCTGGATAATAAGAGCCAGCAGGACTTTGGATCCAAAACTTCAAGTCTCCCTGGTCTCTCAACAGGATTTATCTGTTAGTCATGTTTAGAATAGATCATCTGAAATCAATGAGACTACCAGCATCTCAACTTAAAACGCTTGTTGAAGAGGAAGGTATTCAGTCGGTGTCAAATATACAACAGGGGTGGGAATTTACCATGTGATCCTGTGCTTGTTTACTTGGAAGTCCAGTTGAGATGAATGTTCCTCTCAAGTAGGCGCACATAGCGTTGCAGGTTTAGACTGTGGTAGTTCTCAACTTGTTCACATGGGTGGCACTGAGATATCACAGCATAAACAAAAGGTTTGCGGTCTGCATAGCCAAATTTTCAGTACTGATGTGGAGATATGATATCCCAGAAGGAGGAGGTGCTTCCAATCTTGAGTCACAACAATGAATCAAACATGAGAGCCATTCCTCCAAAGACATGTCCAATGTCTACTGTTACCAGGAAGGGAATAAAGAGCTCTCGGTGTCACTAGCTGATTAAAGACTGGAGAAAAACTTCATTACTCAACTTCTTAATAGCTTCAGCTGCAGCTATTATTGGCCAACCAGTACAACCCTATGTGTGCATTTTAATACCTCAGAACAATAAAGTTTGAAAGGTGCCTTGTTAGTAAACTTTGGAGGATTATAGGTTGCTAACTGTGAGCCCATGTTGCTGAAATCATGTCATACACCAGGGTGGCCATTATACTGCCAAACTACAGTTCCCATCATCTCTGACTACGGGCTATGCTAGCTGGCTGAGGCTGGTGAGAATTAGAGTCATTGGGGCGCTGTATTCACTTTGCTGCCATACACTTTCTGTCAACAATATTTCACATCACCTACCATGCTTTGGGCATCCTTATGATTTGAACTGTGGTGGGAGGAAGAAGTCACCTGGAACAGTCCATTCAGCAGAAGCACTAAGACTTTTCATTTCTCACTTCTGTCCATTCCTTGCTGGCCTTACGAACAGCAAATCAAGGGAGATGCATTTCAGAGACATTCTGATTCTTTGTATAGCTCATGTCTCTTCTGCTGATGCAGATTTTGCTGCTAAGCTGTTGTGGTGTGTTCTTTTTGTGTGTCCGTCCAAATAACATTGGTTATTTTTGCCATCTTCAACATAGAATAACATTTTGACATAGAATCATAGAATCATAGAGTTGGAAGAGACCACAAGGGCCATCGAGTCCAACCCCCTGCCAAGCAGGAAACACCATCAGAGCACTCCTGACATATGGTTGTCAAGCCTCTGCTTAAAGACCTCCAAAGAAGGAGACTCCACCACACTCCTTGGCAGCAAATTCCACTGTCAAACAGCTCTTACTGTCAGGAAGTTCTTCCTAATGTTTAGGTGGAATCTTCTTTCTTGTAGTTTGGATCCATTGCTCCGTGTCCGCTTCTCTGGAGCAGCAGAAAACAACCTTTCTCCCTCCTCTATGTGACATCCTTTTATATATTTGAACATGGCTATCATATCACCCCTTAACCTCCTCTTCTCCAGGCTAAACATGCCCAGCTCCCTTAGCCGTTCCTCATAAGGCATCGTTTCCAGGCCTTTGACCATTTTGGTTGCCCTCCTCTGGACACGTTCCAGTTTGTCAGTGTCCTTCTTGAACTGTGGTGCCCAGAACTGGACACAGTACTCCAGGTGAGGTCTGACCAGAGCAGAATACAGTGGCACTATTACTTCCCTTGATCTAGATGCTATACTCCTATTGATGAGGCCCAGAATTGCATTGGCTTTTTTAGCTGCCACGTCACACTGTTGGCTCATGTCAAGTTTGTGGTCAACCAAGACTCCTAGATCCTTTTCACATGTACTGCTCTCAAGCCAGGTGTCACCCATCTTGTATTTGTGCCTCTCATTTTTTTGCCCAAGTGCAATACTTTACATTTCTCCCTGTTAAAATTCATCTTGTTTGTTTTGGCCCAGTTCTCTAATCTGTCAAGGTCGTTTTGAAGTGTGATCCTGTCCTCTGGGGTGTTAGCCACCCCTCCCAGTTTGGTGTCATCTGCAAATTTGATCAGGATGCCCTTGAGTCCATCATCCAAGTCGTTGATAAAGATGTTGAATAAGACCGGGCCCAAGACAGAACCCTGTGGCACCCCACTAGTCACTCTTCTCCAGGATGAAGAGGAACCATTGATGAGCACCCTTTGGGTTCGGTCAGTCAGCCAGTTACAAATCTGAACATAAATCTGAACAGTCTAACCAGTGCCGGATTCCAGGTATTTCTCTCCACTCTTGAACCACTTAACTCATCCACATGCCTTGGATCACAACTGATTGGAAAGCAGGACTCTAGCAGGCAGGGAGCCAGCTGAGCCAAATTCAGTAGCAAGTGCTAAGCTCTAACACATTACTCTTGAAAAAGCACGGAGACGCGAATAAAACCCCAATTAGTCTGCCGCTGCCGAATGCTTTGGGGGAGCTAATTATGACAAGTGTCTCAGAAGTGCAGGATTATCTCTGTTCCAGCCCACTGCTTTTAAATGGTAGGTTCTACAATTTATACTGCTGTATTTCCTTCTGAGGGCCCAGCAGAATAAGGTCACTTTATGCCAAGAGGGTAAATGTCATGGATGAGGGAAAAGCAGGCATGATACTTACACAGGAATTCACTGTTCAGAGTCTGACTGGCACATGCCCACCCTATTTTATGTGTCTGCCTCTTGCAGTAGCAACAGCAACCTTGATCATATATTGAACCAGTGTGATGCAGTGAATAAAGTGTTATACTAGGACCTGGCAGACCAGGGTTCAAATCCCCATTCAGTCATGAAGGTGACTGGGTGACTAGGGACCACTCTCAGCCTAACCTACCTCACTGGGTTGTTTGTCAGGATGAAATGGAAGAGGGGGGGCAATGCCACCTTGAGCCCCTTGGGAGAAATATGGGATATAAAAGTAGTAAAATAAATGAATAAATGCTATCCACCTTACTGTTTCAGAGGAATAATTAGCTGCCCTGACTTTTCTTATTGTGTTGTTGCTGTTACATTTTATTATTTTATGCATTTTTAAAAAACAACACCACCTTACATACCATCCTTCTAAAAATGAAGTGGTGAATGGAGCAATCACAACAAACTGACTGGAATACTGTGTGTGTGTGTGCGTGTGTGTGTGTGTGTGAGAGAGAGAGAGAGAGA